TCGTTAGAAATATCATTTAGGATGAATTTAGTTACCCTTAACAGAGTGACTTACAGAGCTGATTTATTGAGTTAGTAACAGGTAGCACAGTGTTTAGCTCAGTGATATCATCAAAGGCCTGGCTTCTTTCCTGTCTTCAGTTTACTTTATCAACTTGATCATAAGGTTGTCTTCCCCTTGTGGTCACAGGATAGATCTGTATACTTTCTCATCCATGTTCAGAGTGAAACGGGATTGCTTCTAAAAGTTCTCCCAGAAGAGTGATAAGCTTCTATTTAACAGCCTCCTACACCCCCTCCAGTAAACCTCTTCTTAAGTCTTTTCATGTCTTTTTTTTGTTTTTTAAGAGGTGGCGTCTCACCATGTTGCCCAGGCTGGACTTGAACTCTTGGGCTCAAGCCATCCTCCCTCCTGACTCAGCCTCCCAGATACTTGGGACTACAGATGTATGCCACCATGCTTGGCTTCTTAAGTTCTTTGAGGCGATTAGGGCAAGGTGAAGGTCCTAGAATTTTTTTTACTTTGCCTAGGAATGAGATTAAACTGCTTAGTGAAGGCCGGAGCTACATGCCTCACTTCTAGAGTTAGGGGTAGAGCAAGCTTCTCCAAAGCTCTGGGCTATGCTGGAGAGGAATGGCTATCGAAATGAAAATCAGTATAGGTACCAAGAGAGGGGGCAGTGGATGCTGGGGAGGCAGTCACTGTGTCCAGCAACAAAAATACTAACCAAATTTATGTGGTTTTAGTGGATTTGGTGGTAACAATAATCAAGTAATTTCAATCTGTAATATTTGTTTATAGAATAATTATTTTGAAAGGACTCGTTTTCCATGCCAATAATAGGGAAGTCTTTTGTGGAACTTTTATGTTGTATTTTATCAGGTAGTGAAATTGACATTCTGCAAAATGCATGCTCTCGAAAATTGACAAAGGATACAAAATTACATTATATATGCCTTTGTCATATAACATTAAAAGTTGCTTTTATTTATTGATATACTTAAATCTCCATTTTGACATGGCAGACTTGTGTTAAATGTGCCTTTGTTTAGCAAAGCAAGGGTTATTTTGTATATAGCCTAATTTGGTTGCTGTTATCAACAACTAGGTTATTACTATGCTGATAACTGGTTCTCAGCATTACACACATTTTTTTTTTTTTGTCTATTAACATGTGGGTGATCAAATGCAAACCCAGACAGCCTGTGTTTGAATCCCAGTTTTGTCACTACTGGCTGAATGATCCTCAATACAATAGATTTCGTAACTCCTCTAAGGCATAATTTCCTTATCTGTAAAGTGGGCTTAATAAATAGCACCCATCTTATAGAGTTAATTTGAACTTTGAGGTGAGATAATACGTGTAAAATACTTAATTTAGGGTCTGGCACAAAGTTAGTTGGCTCATTTTATGATGATTACCTCGGCATACTCTAAACATTCTTCACCGCTTTTGAGTGTGTGTGCATGTGCCAATAGAACGTTACGGTAAATTTAATGATAAGTGTTTTAATTTCAGAAACATGATAAATACATTTATACTGTTTTAGTTTTCTCCCTCATTATCCTAGGTAAGAAAGTCCTAATGTATTACAAGGCCATTTCTAATTTTTTTTGAGGGGGTGGATATTCATTTATCAAATCATTATTGTTCCATTGTTCTAGAAAGGAAAGAATTTATGTAAAATGTTTGGGGAATTCATTTGGTTAATAGATAAGTTCTTAGTACTGTTTTATAATAAAGCCATCTTTTGTTTTTCAGCAAAATTCCTGCCTTTCTAAATGTAGTGGATATTGCTGGCCTTGTGAAAGGAGCTCACAATGGGCAGGGCCTGGGGAATGCTTTTTTATCTCATATTAGTGCCTGTGATGGCATCTTTCATCTAACACGTAAGTACAGTTGTTTATTTAATCATTGATTTCATTCAGATCAGTGTTTTCTTTCCATTAGTGCTCAAATAAAATTAGAAAAGACTAATGGAAGATTGCTTTGCTTTACCAGATGAATCTTGGGTTTGGCTGTAAATCTGTGACTTTAATGTTACTTAGTATCATCTCTGTATCTGAGGGCTTATTCCATAGCAAGTATATGCTGCGTTGAGATTATATTCGAATTGAACTTTATTCCCTGTTCTGGATTAGAGCAATCAAGAAGTGTTTCTATATGGAACTTTGTTCATTGTAAAGGCATTTTGAAATTGTCTTAAATTGTGGAACTTTTATTGCTTTTCTGTGTGTTAAGAAGGCAGAATTGTTAGAGAAGGGGATTCTGATTATTTAACAAGAGAGAAAGGCTTCTGGGTTATCTATTAGAGATGAAAAGATTAAAGAGAAACTATAGATCAGCTAGTCCTTATGGAGACAAGAATATAAAGCAAAGAGAAAAAACAGAACTGTGGCTTAGTTTGGGCTCTGTTGACCGACTATAAAAGTGAGCCAATCACATAGTAGTTTTCTGACAAAATAGAGTTTAGGTTAAGGCTTAGGTCAAGGCTGCACTTTGTGTTAATAGTATTATAATGAGCAAATTAATTGAAACAGAAAATACAAGCTAGAGGTGAGAGGGCCAGCTGTGGTCTGGTTAAGTGCCTTTGTTACTGGTCCTCAACTAGATAACTAGAGTAATTGAAAGTGAGCTTTTAGAAAATATAGCACTTTGACTAATTTTTTGGTCATTTGAATAAAGTAATAATAAAATTGTGCTGGTACTTTTTGTGTGCCTTTTATAAAACACCATTTACCTCTGTGGTTTGCATAAGCTGTCTAGAAAAAAGATTTGTTTGCCTAGTATTAGGTTGATGCAAAAGTAATTGCAGTTTTGCCAATGTAATGCCCAAAACTGCAGTTACTTTTGTACCAACCTGATAATTCATTTGTATTGTATTTTACAAAACCCCATGACAAACAATTTGAGAAGCATTGATCTAGGTAGTTTAAATTTGCGTAAAGGTATGGTGAGACCTCTGGGAAGTCTAGACAAAGAATGAGCCTGTGATGGGGAAGTGATCCAGTCTTGTAGAAAAGTTTTAACTAAAGCCTGTATATTGGCAGAACCTCTGTTTTCCTGACTGGTTTTCTTCTGGTTTTGGTGACTGATGTGAGGATTTCAAAGAGAAGCTGGAGTGAACTGTGACTCCTGGATTTCTGGAGTAGGTCAGTTGAATGAATTGTGATACTGTTCATTGAGACATTAAACACAGAAAAAGCAGCAAGTATTGAGAGAGATGATGATGAGTTCAGTTTGGGGCAATTTAAAAAATTTTGTCGTTGAGACATCCTGATAGGTGTCTATCAGAAACTAGAATTGATAGAACACACGTGACAGAAGGATCAGGGCAAGAGAACTGAAGATTTGGGTATGAGAGAGTGAGTTGATGGGTAGAAAAGAACTTAAAATACAGAGTGGGAGTGAAAATAGGAGAGGACTGAAAAATGGAAGGCTTATGGATCTGATTCCCTGATAAGGGTTTATAACAGGTAGGTTGAGTGTAAGGGTGTCATGTGGTTAGGGAGGGATATTTGACTTAAAATTATCCAAGCCAGAGCAATTTAGGATGATGGTAAGGTCCTGATGTTGTTGGTAGTAAAAATGTCTCTGGTTTTGTTGTTTCTTACATAATATTCATTTGATGTGTTTTTCTAACCCTTGGGGGAAAAATGAATTTGGTGAGGAGCATACATACTATACTGTATTTAAGTCAGGCCAAATATACTATCATTCAGGAAGGAAAGAAAATCCAATTAAACTAGATACTATGCTCTTTTAGAGTGATTGATCTCAGAATGTGAAAGTGTCAAAATATGCATCTTAGAATTGATGAAATACAGTGTATTTGTATAGTATTGTATAGTACATAGAACACTGAATGATACATTTATAATCAGAACAAAAAAAAATCCTTAGATTTATAGTCAGAAAAAAAGACTTGTAGAGATTAGAAAGATTAGGGATTACTTTGAGGCTATGAAAATTGATAATTCTTTAATTTCAACTGTCAGATATATGTTAGTGTTTAGAGTACTTTTCAGCTTTTTTCTATTAGAACATCCGAAAGTTCGGGAACAGAAAAAATTGTTAATGAGAAGTTTTAGTTTATCACTGAATTTTAATTTATTAATGTCATGTTTATCTCCATTAATTTGATTAATTTTTAAAAATTAACTTTTCCTTCACCTTATTAACTTCCCTGGGTTATTAGAAATATGTAAAATATATACATTGTTTCAAACACATATACTTGTTTAAAATACAAATACTCATCTTGATGGATTTGCTTTGGCTTTAAATCTTTAGATCACTCTATCTTATTCATTTGACCCATTTGACTCTTATAAGTGTAGTAGGTGCTGAGGGATGTATTGGTGAGTAAAAACAGACATGACCGTTTTTCTCGTGAGCTTATCCAGTGGAGGATATAGACATTGAATAAAATGGTCACATAAATATTAGATGTCTTTCCAGTTGTGTACAAGGAGAAAGGAATATGTGTGTGAGTATGCAGTGTTACCTTGAGGAGGTGACAGTTATGCTGAGAGGTAAAAGCTGAATGGGAGCGAAGGAGGAAAGGAAAGATTAATTATTCAGAGTAAATGGTTGGTTTCAAGGCCCTATGGTGGAAAGGAGCCTGCTGCCCTAAGAACTGCCATGGTGGATAGAATGAATGATGAGGAGTAGGAGCGATGGAAAAGAGCCCAGGGATATAGTTAGGGATGTCATTAAGTTCACCATATTAAAGATATCCATCTGAAATGGCTTAAATATAAAGAATTTTATTTATTTATTTATTTGAGACAGAGTCTTGCTCTGTCCTCCAGGCTGGAGTGCAGTGGCATCATCTCGGCTCACTGAAACCTCCACCTCCAAGGTTCAAGCAATTCTCCTGCCTCAGCCCATCCGGTAGCTGGGATTACAGGGGCACACCACCATGCCAGGCTACTTTTTGTATTTTTAGTAGAGACGGGATTTCACCATGTTGGCCAGGCTGGTCCTGAACTCCTCACCTCAAGTGATATGTCCACCTTGGCCTCCCAAAGTGCTGAGATTACAGGTGTGAGCCGCTGTGCCCGGCCTAAATATAAAGGATTTTAAATGGACAATTGAGGTGGGGATGGAGGCAGATGAAATTGTTCCAGCAGCTTATTTTGCAATCACAGTATTCAGTTGAGTTGCACTTTTTTTTTCCATGAGGCATTTTATTTGTAAATATATGTATTACATCCCTAGAAAAAGAATCCCAGGATTTTCTCCTGTGTGTTTTCGTCTTGCTTCTTCATGGTGCATGATGCCAGCTGAGGTTGTCAGTACAATGAAACCAAACTGGCGGGATGGAAGCAGATTATTCTGCCAATTTTATAGATCTTTGAGTTGCACTCAAATCTGGGGCTGATCACTCCACACTTGTTTAGCCGGCCTGTGAGGTTCACAACAATTTTCCCAGCTCTGTGATCATCAATGATTTCAAATTCGCCAATGTAACCATACTTCATCATCACACTGAGAAACCGGACGATGACTTTGGAGCACGGCCTAATAAGCACCTGGCGTTTGTCTCTCCTTTCTGCATTGTTGATGCTCTTGAGAGCATCAGCCAGGACATTCATGCGCACCATTGTGGCGGCGCGGAAAGATGGCAGAAAGGGAACGGGAGGGGAGAGCGCAGGGAGTTCGAATTGCACTTTTAATGTTTTAACCAATCAAAATGGGCTGAGCACGGTGGCTCATGCCTGTAACACCAGCAGTTTGGGAGACTAGGGTGGGCAGATTGCTTGAGTTCGAGACCAGTCTGGACAACATGGTGTGACTCCTGTCTACCAAAAATACAAAACATTAGCCGGGTATGGTGGCGCGTGCCTGTGGTCTCAGCTACCCGAGGCTGGATTGGGTGGTCTGCTTGAGCTTGTGAGGCGGAAGTTGCAGTGAGCCAGCGTCGTGCCACTGCACTCTAACCTGGGTGGCACAGTGAGACCCATCTCAAAAAAAAAAAAAAAAAAAAAAGGAAAAGAAGGGAAGTAAAAATGGAGTAAGTTGCCAATAGTTTGAATTTTCATTTTGTATAAAACTATATTTCCAAGATACTGATAATGTTTTCCCTAGATAATGTTTGAGCATAAACAATGTAGAATACTTTTTTTTTTTTTTTTTTAAGAGTCAGGGTCTTGCTGTGTTATCCGGGCTAGTCTTGAACTCCTGGACTCAAGCAGTCCTCCACCTTGGCCTGCCAAAGTGCTGGGATTACAGTCATGAGCCACCGTGCCCGGCCAGTAATGTATAAAGCTTCTTTCACACATAAAATGTATTTGCCCAGGTGTGGTGGCTCATGCCTGTAATCCTAGCACTTTGGGAGACCTACGCAGATCACTTGGGCTTAGGAGTTCAGGACTGGCCTGGGAAGCATAGGGAGACCACATCGCTGCAAAAAAAAAAAAAAAATTCGCTGGTCTTGGTGGCCTGTGCCTTGTAGTTCCAGTTACTTGCGAGACTGAGGCAGGAGGATCACTTGAGCTCAAGAGTTGGGAGGCTGCAATGACTTGTGATTGCACCACTGCACTCCAGCCTGGATGACAGAGCAAGATCCCCTGTCTAAAAAAATAAAAAAGATTAAAAGAATCTATACACATTACTTAGTTTGTTTACCCCCAAATAACATACGCGCCCACCCACTGGGGTTTGCTGCCTAATGTAAAGGTATTTCAGATCGCTACCCCCATTAGTCATTTAGAGTTCTCGCTAAAGTTTTATTTTCAGTAGTTTTGTTGTTTGCAAAGTGTACTAATGAGGACATGCCAGATAGTAGAAATAATGAAAGATTATTTTCTTGTTTGAATATGTGCAGATCTGGAGCTACTGTAGTTTTTTAAAGTATGTTTTTGAAGTTACTGTATGCTAACTCGTAACTATGGATTCAGCTATATAAACAGGAGTTTATCTTTCACTAAACAAGTGCTGCTGAGGTGAAAGTTAGGTCTTATTTTGACACTTAAAAATATAACAACTGTCAGGATTTTCATGAGGAATTACAAGAGCTCATCTTTTTATTCTGGTGGGTTTTTTTTAATCAGAAAAGCTTTGTGAGAAATATTTTTATAGTACAAATGAATGTCTGCTTATTAAATTTAATTTGAAAACAGAATCAGAGTCTTCGCTTATTGGAGGGTCACTTATTTTTCTTGCCCTAATTTAAATCCTTGGAATACTTTTCCAAAAGAATATCGGTTCTTCAGTGATAGTAAGGAGCTGAAAAAAAAGATTCAAAGCCAGGTGCAGTGGCACATGCTGGTAATCCTAGCTACTCAGGAGGCTGAGGCCCAAGGACTGTTTGAGCCCAGTAGTTTGAGGCTGTAATGTGTTATGATTGTGCCTGTGACTAACCACTTCACTGTAGCCTGGGCAACAGAGCGAGACTTTGTTTCTTTAAAAAAAAAGAGACAATACTGATTCAAGAATGATCTAATAATCTGCTGTCTAGTTGAAACTTTACGTGTAGCTAATTGAAGATTCCCATCTTGTGTGTAAGCCCAGTTTGCCCCAAATGTGGACTAATTTTATATAGCAGGTAGATGCAGCATTAAAAAATTTTCTGTACACAATAATATGGATGAATCTCAAAATAATTATGCTGAGTGGAAGAAGGCAGTCCAAAAAAAGAGCGTATACTATGATTCCATTTATATAAGATTCTAGAAAATGCATACTAATTAGAAAGCAGATCATGGTAGCCTGGGGGAGGAGCAGAGAGAGGGATTATAAAGGGCTGTGAGGAAACTCTTGGAGTGGTGGATATGCTCATAATCTTGATTGTAGTGATAGTTTCACAGGTGTATGCATATGTCAAGACATGTATACATCTGACTACACTTTTTGTACATTTTATTTTATGTCAGTTTCACCTCATTAAAGCAAAAAAAGTGGGAAAGAAAACTTTTCTTATACTTTTCCTTTTAGGGGAGCTTTGTTTGTACTCTGTTTACTTTGTTTCAGCAGTGTAAGCGTTGGAAATAATGTCATATTTTTAGATAATAATTAGCAGGTTGGTGCAGCTATTTGTATTGATTTAAAAATGAAAATAGGGCCGGGTATGGTGGCTCATACCGGTAATCCTAGCACTTTGGGAGGCTGAGGCGAGTGGAGAGATCTCATCTCTAGAAAAAAAAATTAAAAGGAAAAATAAAACCTGATTATTTATGAGCCTTAAAATTTTGTGAAGAACTTTGGGTTTTGGTGCAATTATAGTGAAATTATTTCTCTCTCATACATCAGTCTTGGAAGTACAAAATCTTTTCAGTTACAGAATTTGTTAAACTTGTTTCCAAAATACAGTTGACCCTTGAACATACTGGGGTTAGGGGAGCTGAGCCCTGCACAGTTGAAATTCGGATATAACTTTTGTCTCCTCAAAAACGGAACTACAAGTAGCCTACTGCTGACTGGAAGCCTCACCAATAATAGAAACAGTCAATTAACACATGTCTTGTATGTTATATATATTATATTCTATATTCTTAAAATAAAGTAAGCTAGAGAAAAGAAAACGTTTTCAAGAACATCGTGGCCAGGTGCGATGGTTCAGGCCTATAATGCTAGCACTTTGGGAGGCTGAGGGAGGAGAATTGCTTGAGTCTAGGAGTTTGAGACCAGCCTGGTCAACATAGGGAGATTCACATCTACAAAAGATAACATTAGCCAGCATTGTGGCATGCACCTGTAGTCTAGCTACTCAAGAGGCTGAGGCAGGAGGATTGCTTGAACCCAAGAGTTTGAGCTATGATTGTGCCACTGCACTCCAGCCTGGGTGACAGAGTGAGACCCTGTCTTTAAAAAAAAAAAAAAAAAGAGAATATACATTTACAGTACTATACTGTATTTTATTGATACTGTCATCTGTTTACAAGATGAATTGTTTATCTGAAATGGCAGTAACCCCAGGTGCAAACCTCAGTCTATGGTCCATATCAAGCAATTCAACTTTTTCTTATATTGTCAGTGACTTTTCTCTTCTCTGCTTCTTGGGAGCATTTCCAGCATCACTAGTAGCACTTGGTATAGGTACCATAGTGTTATTTTTTATTTTATTATTATTGTTTTAGAGATAGGGTTTAGCTCAGTTGCTCAGGCTAGAGTGCAGTGGTATAATCATAGCTCATTGAAGCCTGGAACTCCGGGGCTCAAGTTATCCTCCTGCCTCAGCCCCTGTAAGTAGCTAGGACTACAGGTGTGCACCACCATACCCAGCTCATTTATATATATATATTTTTTTATATATATATATACGTGTGTGTGTATATATATATGTATTTTGTATTTTGTAGCGATACATACATACATATATATATATATATGTATTTTGTATTTTGTAGCAACAGGGTCTTGCTGTGTTGCCCAGCCTGGTCTCAAACTCCTGGGCTCAAGCAGTCCTTCCGCCTTTGCCTCCCAAAGTGCTGGGATTGCAGGTGTGAGCCACTTGCCCGGCTTATGTTCTTCAACATTTATAGTATTGCGACCATGATGAAAAATATTAATATGCAGGAACCTTGAGGGATCACTTTTTACAGCAATACACAATTTACTGGAGAAATGAACTGCTCACGTGGTGATTAATGTCTCACAGTGTTTTAAGATGAGGATACTCGTAACACTCAAACGTATCCCAATAGCAACCGGAGGTGGTTGTGAAATAATTATGGTAGTACAATATGGATTACAGTTAATTTTATGCAGTTACAATTTTATACTGCATTTTTAGTTTATTTACATTTCCCTTAAATGTGAATGGTTCCATGTATGGTCTATAAGTGTATCTAAGTTTTGATAAATTTTAACTTTTTATAATAGATTTGTGTATATCTTACAGTAGTAAGTGATAAAATAGACAAGTATCTATGTATATTTTATGCATGCATGGCATACATAGTTTTTTCTTTTTTTCCCCATATTTCTAGGCTACATGTTTCATCTACATGTTTTTTCAAATTATTGCAAATCTTCAAAAAATTTTCCATTATATTTATTGAAAAAAAGTCTGTGTGTAAGTGAATCCTCGAAATTCAAACCTAAGTTCAAGGATCAACTGAAGTATTTATTGACAAGTTTATTAGTAAATTTGTTATGTAAAGCATTTAAAAATATTTGTAAAGTTCAGGAGTGTACATATTTTATTTTACAAATTGTCGTACAGTAAAGTAGACATTTTGGGTTTACAGTTCTATGAATTTAACATGCTTATAGATTCATGAAACCACCACAACGGTATGGCTACAGAACACTTTCATCATCCCAAAAACTCCCTTCTACTCACATTCTTTTATGGATCTTTTAGGTGTGTTTAAATTCCAGAATGTTCTTTTCATTCTTGGTGTTTTGGAAATATTCCTCTTATTTTCTTCCAAAGTTTACTTTTAAAAAATTCTTTTTATTTATTTATTTTTTTGAGACAGTCTTACTCTGTTTCCCAGGCTGGAGTGCAATGGCGTGATCTTGACTTACTGCAACCTCCACCTCCAGGGTTCAAGCAATTCTCCTGCCTCAACCTCCCGAGTAGCTGGGATTACAGGCACCTGCTGCCATGCCTGGCTAAGTTTTGTATTTTTGGTAGAGACAGGGTTTCACCATGTTGGCCAGGCTGGTCTCCAACACCTGACCTCAGGTGATCTACCTGCCTCGGCCTCCCAAAGTGCTGGGATTACAGGCATGAGCCACCGCACCCAGCCCCTTTCTAAAATGCTTAACAAAATTTTGTGTTAAACCAAACTAAATT